TTTACAAAAGAATCCCAAAGTCGTTGTAGGTGTATAATTTTGTCCCTTGAAATCTGATTTTGACTCTGGTTGGCATTTGTACTTTTTATTTTATTATCTTTTGACTATATTTATATTTCTAAGATAATTTTCTATAATATTTTGAAATAAGATCTTCTCTAATATAATATTTTTTTCACTCTTTTATTTATTAGCAATATTACATCATAACAATAGTTATCATATATTGAAGAAATCTAAGATGTGGCAAATTATATTTGCTACATATTTTGATCTTTGTTTTCTTTTAAAGATGGTTGATAGGTCTTCTTTGCCACTGATAGTATCTGATACTAAGGCAAAAAGACCACCTTATTATTTGATCATTATTGAGGCTTTTATAACTTCTTTCAAATAAAATATTTGAAGTTTCGTTAAGAATTGTTCCTACCTCCAAGAAAATCACCAAACATCAAGAGTTTCTTCCAAGGTTGTGATATCAAATGCATTGTATCTTACCATCTATTTGAAAAAGAATATGTTATTCTTAAGGATCTTTATTTCTATTATATTGTCTCAAAGATTGTGACAATTGTAATATCTTGTTTAATAATTTTTCAAATGATAGCTCTTAAATTGAATTTTCTAGTAATTAATTTTCCATCTATTTAGTCTTACAATTATACATAAATTACAATGAAAGATAGAAGATAAAATGCAATCTTTTTTAAATTATATTTCTTTTATAGCAAAGATTTGTTATTCTTCATCTTGATTTTGATAGATGTCATTGATCAAAACGTATCAACCTTTTTTATTATATTTATAAGATTATTTGTTGGCTCATATGTGCCATTTAGGATTCTATTAAAGTTTCTAAGACCTTATTGTTGCAATTTCTAATTTGCTCTCCACAACCAAGTACTCGATACATTCTCCAACAAGACTTTGCATAATACAACACTGCACTTTTAAATTTGTTGCTACTATTGGAGTTGCTATATTCCTTGTATTCAACCACTTCAACCCCTTCGTTTTCTCCCACTAGGGCATTTGAGGGTGTACTTAAATAATCTCAATCATCCCACAATTTCATTCATATATATATATATATATATATATATTTAATTATATCTTCCAATTCCTACAACAATTAAAACTATAGCTATTCCAAATGACATAGATGGCTCCTCAATTCACCAATCAAGGTTGCTTGTCCCTTCCCCCACCACGAACAAATCCCTTTTTTGTTGTCAAGTGCAGTACCTAATTCATCAACCAGTATATCTTCTCCTTTGATGGACATGCCAACCTTGACATGATTCCACATAAATTTTAAAACCCAACATAATTTATAAAAGTTCCATCTACTTAAAATTATGAATTAAGCAAAGTACATGGATGAATGAATGAATATATATTTATATATATATAGGATAAAATTGAGTACTAGTGTGGTTAAAGATTTTGGTGCCCATTTTATATACTGGAAATCTTTCCAAGTCAATTAGTCTAACAAACTCAAGTTGATAGTTGATATCTACTTATATAAAATAAGATCTCTGCAGAGTAAACTCTAAAAATGCATGCTTAAAGAAGTTAATGAAAACAGTACAATTTTTTATACATGAATGTGTTTAATCTCCTTCAAACCATGAAAACCAGATCACATTATCCAACTCCTATCAATAGGCAGCTAAGTGCAAGCAACTATAGTTCTTGAACATGGATTCTTGTAAGGGAAAATTCCTATTCAGCAAGGGAAATTCATTAGGATTCAAATTTTACTACTACCCCTTAATGAGAATTAAATCTGGTTCAATTATAAGAGGCTAAAAATTATAGATTTATTTATTTATTTATTTATTTATAAGAGAAAACACGTATTGTATTTATGAAAAGCATATAGAATTCAATGATAAACTAGTTTACTGTGCACATAACCCACACAAATTTGGGGTTTATTTGATCTTACCATCTACATCTTCATTTCAGTTTGTGATTATTCACAAAGATACAATTACACCAAAATTGAAGTTGTAAGGAGATGCTTCCTCAACATCTAAATGTTTATTAAGGTTTACCAATTATTGTAATAGCAAGTTCAAAAGAAAGAAGCAATCATCCATTTTTGCATTCACGTATGTACAAAAAATAACATATTTCCTGAACTTAAATTAATGTGTGTAACTTTTGACCAAAGGTGAAGCACTGTTCCATCTCTATTAGACACATGAACTCAAATTAGCTCATTAATTAAGGTGGGTCCTTAGATTGGGCATCTAAATGTAAGTGGCGCCATTCGATGACGCCATGAAAATGGGTCGGTGGGGTCCCACACGGAGACCCACTCTGTTACGAGGTTCCTATTACCGTGACGACTGAATTCATCCTACATCCAAATGAAAATTCAAACTATGGATTAAATTATTCATACGAAAGGTGACTTCACGTGGAAATTTGTTATGATTTTCTAAAATTGTGCGTGTTCAAGGAATTCATGAATATTACATCCATTAATTTTTTTATTTTTATTTTTATTTTTTTCACGATGAGTACATGTAGTTTTGATTGTTTATACAATGATTTTTTAAAACTTTTTTTACGTTTATTGAGAAGAAACGTGGACCCAATTTATGCCTTCATGAACCAAAGCAAGGATGTAGATTCTAATGGAACTGTCCCATTTGTGTCAAAGTGTGAAAGAATTTTTACTGCAAATAATGCTCGAGTCTTCGTATTGTACTTCCATCTTATCTTCTTACTTTTTTTTTGAAGGCTTGCCGTTATCTCCACTTCTTTTCTGGGCCTATTTTGTTCTATGATGCCATCATGGTTTTCATACACAAAGAAATAAAGTAATAATGAAAAAGCAAGTGTATAAATTTTTCAAAGAGGAGACTAATACATATGCATACCAATGTAATAGACAAATAATAAGATTTGACATTTAGAGGCAAGAAAGGATTTCATAGTAAGCTTCATTACATTGTATGTTTCTGTGGTTTCAATGGCATTTGCACCAGAGTGTGAACGGTAAGGAGTTTGTGTTTGGGTGATAAAGCATCTTAGTCTTTTCAAAGGCTTGCACTTTTCCAATGTGGAATCAATAAAGCAAAATAATAAAAAAGTAACAAAAAAAACATTGGATTTACTCAAGAATTGGCTGATGGTTTGGCAGTGAGCTGGACTCCCACCGCTGATCCACTTTCACTTTTTCCGTCCACCTGTCACTTTTTCTTGCCGTGTCGTGGTTGGTCCAGACCCCATCGTTGCCAGCTGGGCTACCAGAAGAAATCCACGTTGCCCATCTCTGATTATTGCTTTATAGTTTGGGAAGAACTTTTTGATGGTAATTTTCCACGTGGCATGCATTCGGTGAGGACTTATTGCCACTCTTCAAATCATTCGATGATGTCCAATTTCTTTTTAAGAATCCAGTTGATATTTTATATCGTGCCTCCTTTCAAAAACAATGTAGTAACAATAAAATATATATACTATCGTGAGGGACTTTGTAGCTTAATTTTCGTAAACACAATTTCTAATGAATAATATCAAAGTTCACAAATAATAATAATAACAGTATTATTATTGATGAAAGCAAATTAACCAAAATATGCCCCCGTTAATTTTATGCTTTGTTATTTTAAAATACAACTGTAATGTTTCTGAATTTCATTATAACCAGTCACTTGTGTTCATAGAAAGAATGAACAAATTAGCCCTTTCTATTAAGCAATCATTTACAGCACAATTAATCATAGATTCAAAATACAATTTGGTAATTTCAATTTGATTTGTCTTACTATTGTTGGTCTCTCAATTAAAATGAAGGAGACACACACATACACACGTTGAGCAAAGTAAACCATTCTTTGATTTTTGTTCTTACTTTCTTGATCCTCCTATAGTTGTTCTGTATTTATCTGTGTATACATATTTCACAAAATTTAAAATCATAAAAATCTGCTCTCTTTAAACGAAGGGTCCACACAAAGTTAAAAAATGAGATCAGCATATCCTCAATGATACATTATACAAATAAATTAATCCTTCAAAATTTGTTGATTCATTTGAGATAGAAAGTACATCCATACATTACTCTTAAATTTAGTAACGTGTTGTTTTGTTTTTTAACTAATTGTTATTCATCCTCGTGGCATAGAATCCATAGAATTGAATGTAAAACCAATGGTTTAGACTCGTATGCCCCCCTGTTCCATCCACTACCACGACCAGCTTCCTTTCTTTCTTCACCTTGCGAGGAATCCAAGACTATATACTATTTAAGATACATGGGATGCGGCTGAAAGAGATATATATATATATATATATGCCTGCAGGCTCTGCAGTCGAGGAGGAGGGGCAGCAATGTGAAGAAGATATCCTGCTTGACCATCCACTTGATAAGGCGACTCGTGATTGGACACGAGCCCGTTATGGGCAGGAGCTTGAAACAATATCTGCCCGAACGTGCCCGCTCAATAATTCGGAACATTCCATTGGGCGGGGTCACCCTCCCTCCATCAACATTCATCCACAGAAACACATTCATTCATCCGCTTTGACCCTGGTGTAGGTGCGTGCGGGTCAAGCCGCGGGTGACAGTGACAGATAGTGAGATTAAATTTGAAATGACCATGATTGGCAAAGGAAGGGTAACTTAAACCCCGCTAAATGATGTGTTCCTATGACAGGGACCGTCGTAAGGAGCGCACGAAGGAAGTGGGCCCCGCGGGTCTCTGCGCGTTTCCCGCCTCACGGTAAAGAGGGGCTTTGCAGTTTAAACTGCGATCGTTTTTTTTGTTAATATTATTCTTGGACTGTATCGAATCGTGGAAGACTCGCAAGGGGTGATGCTGTTATCCCCGTCATCTTTCTTTGTCGCGCAGGGCACGTCTTTTCACGCTCCGCTGTTTCGCAACTTGTTTTCGGCGGAAAAAAACGTTGTTCAATAGCGGTTCTTGACGTGGTTTGTGGAAGGAGATTTAGAGGTTGGCTTTTGAGTATTATTATTTGTTTTCTCTTTAATTTTTAAATTTCGAGTTATTTTTAATAGAGAGTGCGAAGGTTTTGTTTCTGGAAGGGAGATGGTGTGGAGAGGTGGTGGTTTGGTGGTGAACAGTGGAGCGGAGAGTACACTCGGTACAGCTGCTCCAGGTGCATCAATCAGTTCTGGAAGAAGAGGTTGAGGTTGGCGTTGCGTTTTTGGTAGAATTGGTGGTGAATTTTGCTTGCTGTTGAAGTTCTGAGTGCATTGGAGCAGCAGCTGCGTGGTTTATGAATCCGGTGCGGGGCAAGCGTTAGTCGGAACGGTTCTTGAAGGTTGGGATGAATTGGCACTTTTACGGTTTTGACCAGTTTAGTGGTGTACGCTCCAGGTGTGATTTGAGTGATAGGGGGATATTTTAGATCTTGCTTATCGAGGACTGATCGTTGTGCAGCAATAATTCCTCGGAGGGGGCACAATTCTCGAGCTGCATGAATAGGAGAATCTCCCTTGAATCGTGTTACTGATTGGGTAAAGGATTTCGTGGCTCGAGACGGCCCTCTTGGTGTGCAGAACGGAGACGCAGCAGGCTAGAGAGCAGAATCGTCTCGTGTGTCTTTGCCTACATTCTTGCTCTGTCCCCCACCGCTGCACAGATGACGACGTTGCTTCAAATGCTCGCGGATTTCGGACAGTTATGCCAGAGAGATCTGCGGATCTTTTTGTGGCGGGGTGTTCTGATAGTGAGCCTACACGTTCGCGAATTAGACTTTTCTTAACGAAAATTTCTGAAATGCACTCAGCTGGGAAAATGTGAGTCCTTTGAGAGTAGGGCCGTTGTTGCCTCATTCAGGCTGTCCGGAAGACGCAAAGCGTGTGGAACATCGTAAGAATAGATCTTCTTCCGCCCTCTTTTCCTACTACCTTGCGGTCTCAAGAAGTGCTAGCTGCTGAAAACTCTTAAGGCTCTTCTCGCATTGCGGAGAGTAGATGAAATTCTTGATCGAACACGATCACGGTTGAAGTCATTAACAGCCGCCCTTTTCTTTACTTGTTTGTAGAGTATCCGATTGGGAGTTTTTTCACGTTTGGTAGCAGCAAGATTCCGATCGCACTGATTCGATTGGTCTCGACATACTGTGGCCACTGCTCACACTTTCAAGCATAGCCTAGCTGAGTTCATTTCAAGAGAAAGAGTATCGAAAGATCGCTGGGGTCGATTAGGCTCGTCGCAAAATTCTTCCAAGATTTTAGCATTCGCTAGCAACCACCTTATTCTGTAGATACAATTGATTATCTTGCAGTAAAAAAAATGAAAATACGATTTCTCCCTTCTTGGCATGTGCGTTGAGTCGATTTCTCAGGATCCTTGGTAAAGGCAGAGACACTCGTTGATTGTGTTCCTTATGTCATTTTGCAACCGCGGCTCCCGTTAAGTTTTTTATTTTTATTTACTATTATTATTATTATTATAAATAGTAAGCTTCAGATGTCCGTTTTTGGAGACTTTCACCATGCTCTTCCTCAATTCCGAGACTTGTACTCAAGACCATATGCTCAAGTTTGTGTGTTTGTAGAGATGATCTATTGTTTCTGCTGTTGATGTGCTAGACTATTGAGAAATTCTGTTAAGTTCTAGTTTGTTAAGTCTGAAAACCATGTACGAACCGGTGTTTTCCTTTTTTTTTTTGTTTTGTTTTGTTTTGTTTTTTTTCGGGTTTTGGTATCAGACCATTAATGGCGTTCTGAACTTAATGAGCACAATCTCAATGCTTAAAGCAGGCATTGTGCCAGGTGAGTTCTCGTTACAATATATTTAAAGTGATGCGACATTTGCAACTTAAAAATAATGGGTTGAAAACTTTGACGCTTTCGATGTTGGCGAAACAGCAAATATTGTCCTGCTTCACGAACAGCAAACTATACGGCATTGTGGTAGGATGACAACGTCCTGAGAACTACAGTCTTCTGCAAGATTGCAGCATGTGAGCACTAGGTGTGAGAATCAGTCAGGAATGTAACAAATCAGTTGCCGGAGTTGAAACGTACTCCCGGCAAAGCATGCTACGTTACGTTTCGTGCGATAAGACAGGATTGTTGCAATAGTGGATTTATTCGGGGTTCCTCGTGAAGATCAAACTAGAGGCCCCTGAGTTGGAGTGGAAGGGTTTGTGAACCCAAAAATAAGTTATTACCGAGTTGTGAAGCCAGTTCGGAAACCTATTTTCAGCTGCACGATTAGACATTATAAATTTTCCCCATGGAAAGGGCGGAATGAAACCTGATTCCTTCTGATTGCATATTGTATAGTTCTTCGATTCCATAAACAACCTCTTATTGCATCGAGTAATAACCTCACCTTATTCCTCTTTGTCTTTGAGTCGTTTCATTAGTAGCGAACGCTTCATGCCGCTTCTGAGCATTAGCTGTTGGATTTTGCAGAATCCATGTGAACGGATCAATGCAAGAAATTGAGTGTACAACGCCATTGGTTTCTTTGTCTCCAACAACGGCTCTTGAAAATTCCCAGGTGATTCTTTATGCAATCTCTTTAATTTCAAAATTTGAGTGAGAAACTTGACAAGTTTATCACTCAAATTTTGAGAAGTTTAACTCCAAAATTAGAATGCGAAAGTCCCTTCCTAAATTCTTATATTGAGTGAAGGCAGTGGATTATAATATGACGAATGGTTAACTTACACGTCCTAGAAGTTCTGTATTGATCTGGGTACGAAGTTGCAATAATTTTCTCTTCCCTTTCACTTCTCACGTGGCTGTTAATGAAGCTCGTCTAACCAAATCTTTTTCCTTTTCAGGGGCAGCATTATGATGTTGAGGTCAATCCCAATGAGAAGCTACCAGAGATCCAGGATCAACGACTTGCCTTGGAGCAAGAGGTATTGTTAAAATGGTGGATACTAGTGTGGAATATATATGACGGTAATTTTATGTAATAATGTTTTATATGTAAGTTCATTAATCTCTTAGAATGCGGAAGTTCTTAACCTGAATAGTCCTACAATAGCTTCCTTCTCAGTATGCTGTTCGTTGTATTCATATGTGTCACTCTATGGATTTTTTTCACAGTTATCTTGCATTGTTCCCTCAGGTGGCCAACTTGAAGAAGAAGCTTACGCATGAGATCAAGCTGCGGGAAGCTCTAAAGAGTGGCCTTCAGAGGTCTCCGGGTTTCCTGCCCAAAATTCCTGGATACGTTCCTGCCGAGGTTTTTCTTCTCAAACCAAACCTCTTCATGTTACTTCCGAAGACCTCTTTTGCTAGTTTGTTTTTCTTGGCATTTTTGGAACTTTGGAATACGTCTAATTACAATTTGGATTTCGTTCTGTTGTTTCGATCAGCCTGAAGCATCTCGTAGCCCTCTCTTGAAATTTGGAGCATCGAGTATTTATGTGCTCTAATCTGATGTGCAGACGAGAGAACTGCTATTTGAAGTTGCTGTTTTGGAGGAGGAGATTAATTTCCTTGAAAAGCATGCTGTGTATCTACGGCAGGAGATACATGATGAAGATAAGTCTGAATTGTTCGGATCCTTTCGACTGGGCGGTGAGGAAGAAACTGTCTCCGTCTCCGAGAAATCCGCTGTTTTGGAGATGGAGACCCCAGAATCGGGAGTTTCTGTGCAACCGTTAGTACATATATCTGAACCAGTCACCCCGACAATCCCAGTTACGCCGTCGTTGACACCGTTTCTAACTCCCGAGTGGAGACCGTCTGTCCCATCTTCACCTACACGCGTCCATGATAGAAACATTCCCCTACCTGTACCTTCAACTTTTGTGTCACCCCTCTCTATGGACTCTTCGCATCGTAATGAATCAGAAAGTGTACTTCCTCAGGTATTGAATAGGAAAAGAGTAATTAGACGAGGTTCTTCCTCATCAGAATCTCTTCCCGCAGACCTTACTGAACATTACAGTGCAATTCGAATGCCCTTGAGGAAAAAGGCAACTCACAAAAAGACTCTGTCCCTTCCACATGACGCCAGGAAGGCGGATATTGAATGCAGCGATGCCAGCTTTGCCAAATCTTCCTTAATGAAGAAGGAGGTGGGTAGAGGAGATGTCTTTGAGAGGTTATCTGCACTGAAGAATGGAGGACAAAGAAGAGCATCGGTTATCCCCTCTCCTGTAAATTCTGACAAACCTGAGAATTTTGCCGTCAAGAAGCCCGCACATTTGAAGGGGGTTCAGAGCAGGTATCTGTCTCATAGATCACCGCCAACTACCTTGTCGAATGAGAACGTGAAAACTTGTACAAAGAGGCCTACGAGAGCGAAGGAAGATCGTGGCCGTTCGCCACGTCTTGCTTCGCCGCAATTGGAGACTAAAGCACCTTCGTGCTTCGGGCGCTCCTCCAGTAACAGAGATATACAAATTGAATCCTCACCCACTTCAACTCCGTCTCCGATATTTGAAGATAAGGCTATATCCTCTATTAAGCGTATTGTATCAAGCATGAGTCCAACCGGATCCCCACAACTGAAATTTCAGAATGGCGTTAACTCTCCATTCACTCCAACTTCGGATATAGGAAATGAAGATCGGTTAGTAACTCCTTTCAAATTGCCTCCAACTGGAGAGAGGGAAAACTTGAAAGTTTTGACTCTCAGTGATGAGAGACGAAGGACACATGATCTTGTTATTGCGAAGTCTCTTCCTTCCATCAAATTAAACAAGGCATCCAATCAAATACATTCGCCTTTCAGAGGTTCTGTACAACATCGTCTATCTGGGACAAACAATTTCGCGGAGAATGCTAAGCTATATGCTCAGGTAAAGGTCTCATCTACACCGACAAGTCAAGCTTACAAAATAAAGCCTATTCAAGTTCAGAAGTCTATGCCTAAAGGCGTGGACAGCGTACATAGCACTCCCAAGTCAGAGTACACATGCTCGACAAAACCTCGGCCCGACAGGGACAACGATTATAAGGTATGTAGATTTCGCTTATGCCCAATTCATGTATTCTGCCGTATTCAGTTTTTTCATCCCATGAAAGTATTTTAATGTACAAGGTAATACTGTGTGCCTTCTGCAAAGCTACTCTTCCTTCTACTTAAACTTCGTTATAATTTAATCTATACTTCATTTTTTCAGTGTGCAAAAAAATATTAAAAAAATTGCTGAACATATCCATATGTTCAACCGTGATGTTGGTGGTGCTTCCGATTCGAGGAATCGATTTCTTACCTATTGAAGTTCTTTGATATCTTAGGATGATAAGGTGGACATGGCTTGTGCCCCGATATCAGATGCTTCCTGGCTATCTGAAGACCTGGCAAAATTATTGGGCACAGTATGTAGCAAAATCCGTAGGCATTCTCCGTCTCCAGATGCAAAGGTGGTTGCGAAACCTCCCGTTTCTGTGCTTGGAAGTTCTCGAAGAACGGATTCCTTTGGGAGAAGCCAGAGTTTTGACATTCGAAGTCACGAAGGTTTACAGTTATTGGAAGAATTCTGTTCAGATGACATCAGCTTGTCGGATTCTCATGGTGTACACAAGCATCGAACGACGAACTTAGGGCCTCATCGACATTATTACAAAGCGTTGAAGTTACCACTTGAGCAAAATTTGAAGTAAGTTACCTTTCAATCTCAATTCGTTTTTTTGTAGCTTACCTGTCTTTTCTAGTGCCAAGCATGCGAAATCTTAGATGAATTCAAAAGTAAGCTTATTTGGGCTGTAACTGAAAGGATTTTACTATCGCGTATATGCAACTATTAGTGAATTCTTATGGATGAGTTGTCTGCTTGCAGGGCTTAGACCATTGCATTCGAAGAGTGGAAGAAGGATCTCTCAGCCCTCATATGGGGTGCAGTTATACACTGTCATAATCAGTATCTTTGACCTACGATCACAAGCTGCTACGACATGGAAGGAAGAAAAAAATCCGCTGTCCATCTGATTCTCTGCGGAAGGGGTGGACTTATGAGGACAAAAAGTAGTCTAGTGTGCTGCGCCATAGTGTAGAGTGTAGATTGAGATTGTGCATAAAAGGACATCAGGTGGTGAGATTGAGTTTGCTGAATGTGATTTTTTATGCATAGCTCCAGCAAAACCACGACTTCGACAAGAATTTGCGGAGGAAATGTTAGAGCATTAGATGTATCTTCGGCGATCAAGCAGCTAACTCTGATGCATGAAGTCAGCATCCAGCTACTCTGCACAGTAAGTCCTAATCGTTTATTTTATTTTATTTTACTTTATGTTGAGTTACTGTTAATCATATCTTACGTTATCTTCACTGCTAATTTGTTGTTTATACAAGCGAAATCGTTTCACTCTGGTGCAATATTGTAATATGTAATCTGACAAGTTGTGACGTATCAACAGGATCGTGGTGAACAATGTTCTTAAACGACTCTTTGACCATGGCAAACTACGGTTCAGAGTTTGAATGTAAACGGTGTGGTTTCTATGGGCTCGCTGAAAACGTAGAAAGCACAGAACCTCAGCAAACCGCCTGGCCCAACTCCTATTTTATTTTAAGTTATGATTCCTGGCTCCCTGCAAACTATAACTTTCACAAACTGTATTTTGTTTATTTTGTTTCGAATATATGAAAAGGGTTGTCAGATGTTTTCACTTGGAGTGCGAGCAACCGACTTACGTCTCTGTTACATCTGATCATTGCGAGGCATGTTGCTGTGGCTCAAGCCTAGTTAGCGGTCAGTTAATGGGGCACCCGATCACTTCAGTTGATGGGTATTGTCAAGAGTGATGGAAGGTGCTCTCTTAACGGGCTGAATGGGGGTTCTGTTGGAAATTTCTCAACAAATATTGATTTCACCCAAAAGAGGTTGTGTGCTGAGCATCATTTCTTCATGGAACCTATATTAGAAAACTTTCATGAATTTCTTCGATGAATGTGAAGTAAATGAATTTGGGAACGGAGAGTAAGAGTACAACTCAGATTACTTCCAGATCTCTGCAGCTTTGAGCAACCTTTTGAGATCTCTCCAAAGTTTTAAACTCGAGTCGCTGGTAACTATAGAATGTATTTTGAAATATTGTGTTAGATCTGTCAAGATATTTTTGGTTTAATATATTGTAATAGATTATCGGGACGGCAAACCACTTCTACAATGCGTAGTTTGCAAGAGTAAAAATGATTTATTATTTCACTTTTTGAATAAATAAAAAAATTCCTTAAAAAATGTAGGACATAACATATGTTTATTTTATTTTTAAAAATGTAATTAAAATCGATCTTTGAATATTGCATTTAATTTCAGTTGTGTTGAGATTTTGCATGTTTATAATGAGATAAAATATGAATATATATGTAAATATATATAAAAATATATGTGTGTGTGTATGTGTCTTAATAATTTAATTATTTTGACATTTGGCAAAAAATTAAGAGTTTCAAATAACTAGTAAAAGTAAGAAAAACTATGTTATATATATATTGGTTGTGGTTTCTTAACAGAGTTATTAAATTCCAAGAATCAATTTAGGTAGTTTTTTATTTTTATTTTTATGTACTCTTGATGATATGATTAAATAAAATGTTAAAAAACACAATCACTTTTTTTAATTTTAATTTTTTAAAAAAGAGGCTTTCATTATAGATAAGAAGGTAATAGCTATTCATATTAAATTCATGTTTCTCAGGGCTAGTATTTATTTGAGTCCAAATCAATTAAAAAAATAAAAATAAAAATTGAGATTGTTTTGACAATCTATTTGGATGTCATTGAAATCTATAGTACATGTTTACTTTGTATTACATTGTATTTATTAGATCTATTTTTTGTATAATTTATTATAATTTTACTTATAGAACTACATATTTTATTTTGATGTTTTGCTTTAAGATTATTCCAAATGCAATTACTCAGTATGTTCATTGTGTTTTTCCTTATTTTTCTTGGCATTTGGTTTTCTCTACTTTCAATGAGATATCATGTATCATAAATTGTAACAATTCATGACAATAATAAAAAATATTTTTTTATCAAGTTTTCCTTGTATTTGTATAGATGTACCTTGCTTAATTTATAGCCTTGGTAGATGGAAATTTTATAGATTATGCAATGATTGTTGGTTACGGGATCTAAGTTTACTACTTAGTAACAACTTTTGTTCCACCAAATATTATTATTTAAGCAAGAAATATTAGTCAAATAGTATCAAATAATTGGGATTGTGTTTTATCATCATGTGTTACGGAACATAAAACAACAATTGACACCGATTTAAAATAACTTTATTTTTTATTAGTGTACTTGATATATATATATATATATATATATATATATATATATATATATATATATGGATAAATTATTGAACCAGGTTTTAAAAAAAATTGGAATTAACATAACATTCCAATATGAAATCAAAGCACCTGTTTTCAAAATTTTAAATCTTCTCTACTTAATATCTCAAATTGTGTTACTATCATTTCCCCAACAAAAAAATAGAAAAATAAAAAAATAGCATCCACTTTAATAAACACTTGGACACAGAACTCAACATCTCAACTGCAAATGTGTCATCTTTACCAGATATCCATGTCAAAAAGTGCCCTATGATGTTTTAAACATTAATCTAATTATCACCCATGTTACAATAACTAAAAAACATTCATCCACTCTATGAAAAACAAAATAGTGGTCAAAAAATGTTGTTTTCGTTGAGAATGTTTAGAAAGAGACAAGAGTAATAATAAGTCATACACACACATAAGAGTAGTAGTAAGTCATACACACACAAGAGTAGTAGTAAGTCATACACACACAAGAGTAGTAGTAAGTCATACACACACAAGAGTAGTAGTAAGTCATACACACACAAGAGTAGTAGTAAGTCATACACACACAAGAGTAGTAGTAAGTCATACACACACAAGAGTAGTAGTAAGTCATACACACACAAGAGTAGTAGTAAGTCATACACACACAAGAGTAGTAGTAAGTCATACATACAAGAGGGTTTCTAAGGAGAGAGAGCTTCATACATACACATCTATTGATCTGGTTGTGTCTCGTATACAAGAAGAGAGAAGATAAGAGAATGAACAGTACTTCTCCACTAGACTCTAAATATTGTAGCTATGGTAATTACTGTAGTCTATAGTAAATATTATGGAGAGCGTCGGTTACATTTAATGATGTCAATACTCCTCGTTGCTCATCATAATATTTACATAATATAAAATTTATATAGATTTATAATCTATACTTTTCTGTGATCTTGCAAGATCAAGAATTGTTGCCTCATTAAAACCTTATCTAAGAAAACCTTATTTTATTTAAGGACAAAACCATAGATGGAGGAAAAAGAGTACAACATCATTTTCTTTAATTATTTAAAGAGCTCATTAACTTTCTTATTCAAGAAAAGTAAGTCGCCGCATATCAATGCCATAAGTAAGTCGACGATGATTGCTTAGTGGGAGAGCTTTGGTGAAGAGATCACCAAGGTTATTTGTAGATTTAATTTTCTTAATTATAAGTGCTTGATCAGTAATCAAGTCATGAGTATAACTAAAATACTTTGGATCAATATGCTTTGACTTGTCGCCTTTAATGAAACCAACTTGCATCTATGCAATACAAGCACTATTATCTTCATGCAAGATAGTTGGAGAATCATCATATGAAAATCCATAGGTTGTTTGAATGAATTTATCAATTGATCGCAACCAAATACATTCTCGAGATGCTTCATATAAGGCAATAATTTTTGTATGATTGGATGAAGTTGTACTTATTGTTTGTTTCATTGATTTCCATGATATTACAACTCCATGTCTTAAAAATACATATCTTGTTTGAGATTTAACTGTTGTAATATCAGATTTATATCCTGCATCACAATATCCAACCAATTTTAGATCTGTAGATTTTGTGTAATATAATCGGAAGTCTTCAGTACCTTTTAAATATCGTAATAAATGTTTGATGCCATTCCAATGTCATAGTGTTGGACATGCACTATGTCTTACAAGAACACTAACTGCAAATGTAATATCTGGTATTGTAGATGTAGCTAAATATAAAAGTGCTCCAACTGTTGCGAGGTATGGATATTGGTCTCCCAATATTTCATCTTCCTCTTTGCATGGACGATATGGATTATGACCATTACGACCACGTCCAACCATTGGTGTGGACAATGAATAAGCATCAATCATATTAAATATTTACAAAATTCGTCTAATATACATTAGTTGGTAAAAAAAAATGCTACCATCTGTAAGATGCATAATCTGAAGACCAATGCAGAAAGTTATTTTTCCTAGCATTTTCATCTCAAATTCACATATAAGTAGGTTTGTAGCTGTAACACATGCAGATGTAGTACCCACTAGGTTAAGATCATCAACATATACAGTGATGATCACAAAACCAGTTTTATCTCGTTTGATAAACAAACAAGACATTAGTGGATCACTTATAAAATTATTTGTAATTAAATAATCTTAAAGACATTGATACCACATTTGTCCGGATTGTTTTGAACCATATAAGGCCTTACATAATTTAATACCACAATATTTTTCTGGAGCGGGTTGATTTGGAATTCCTGTTTCTAAGCCAGGTGGAACTTTCATATAAATATTTGCATCAAGGGAACCATATAGATATGTACTAACTACATCCATCAGATGCATCTCAAGGGTGGCATGAACTGTCATTCCAATAATATATCGAAATGTAATTGAATCCATGAGTGGAAAATATGTGGATTCATAATCAATGCCAAATCGTTGAGTAAATCCTTGAGCAACAAGACGAGCTTTATAGTGGATTATTTGGCCTTAAGCATCTCGCTTGCATATTAATACCATTTTATATCCCACATGGCAAGATGTAAGAGTGTTTACAATTGGACCAAAGACTTTCGTCTTATGTAAAGAGGCATATTCTTCTTCAATAGCAGTTTTCCATTTTGACTAATCAGATCGACGCATCGCTTCTTTGATGGTTTGAGGTTCAGGATCGTCTTCCTTGCAAGAAAGGGCTTCTATAATCATATATGCAAATGATTCATCTACCGTAATAGATATTCTGTCCCAAATATCATCTGTAGCACAATACAGAATAGATAATTCTTTACTCAACTTGTTCTTATTCCTTCCAATTCCAAGATTGTTTTTCATAGGAATTGAAGGTACATTATGCATGGATATATCATCATGAATTGGTAGTCCTGCAAGATAAGTGGCAATTTCTTGAAAAATAATACCAAGATTAGTTAATTTTATAGCTTTCTTTTTACGTGGTTGCTTATCTGGTCCACGAGTTCTTTTAGTTGTTGTTGTTATAACTTGAGATATTGTAATCAATGGCCCTGCAATCTGAGCAAGTGCATTCTGAGCCTCATTAATAAGAACTCTTGTAATTCTAGGTACATCATTGAAGCCATCAGGTGTTTCATCCGTGATCCGTTTTAAATGTAAAATCTTAGCAATTTCAGTTTCTGCTAAAGATGTCCTAGGATCGAGATTCATTATAAATGTTTCTCATGCTTCAAATATGAGTACTTTATTTCTTTGTTGATTAGATATTCCTCCTTGAAGAGATGGGAATACAGTTTCTTCAAAACGACAATTTTACAAATGTACACATAATAATGTGCCAGTTGATGGATC